AAACATCTTTGTCTCTTCTACCAGAAACAGGATATTTTATTTAATTAATTCTAAGAAATTTCATTAAGAGGGGAGCAGAGACTACTCTAAGGCCAGACATTAAAAGAAATATGGAAGCATTCAGAGACCACAATGAATGTTTTAAGCAGCACAAACAGACAGGTAAAAGAAATTTTATCTTAATAACTCTTCCTCGCTCTTCTCAGCTATAGTAAATCCATTATTTAGTTAACTTTTCCATTCATTTAACCAAACTGCTTTCTATCTAAAAACAACGTTCCTGGAGTTTCCCTAAATTTTAGCTTGGTTGCATCCCTCCCCCATTTGAGCATTTCTTAACAAGCTGCACTTATAACAATGTCCATATTGAGAAGATTAAAATATTTTCATCTCAATGCCCAAGGGTTTTAGCTTTTATGTCTTCTTCATGTGTTTGTGATTCTGTAGATTGTTAAATGCCTCAGTGCAACCTCCCGTACTTTCCCACATTTCTTTCCCACAGTGAACAGGCGCTTATTGACACATTCCTAAAATTTTGTTATCTCTTGCTTGTTACTTCTCCAAGGACATTTTATTTTGCAATCATTGGCATAATAAAGGTAGGGGAGGAAGGCAAAAGACAGAGGGGAGATTACCTAAACAGCTGCTCCTCTCATTGGACAACAGTGGGCAGATATTCCAATTGCCCAATCCTATCGACTGCAAGGATTAAATTCTGAACACTGGCTTTTGCCATATTGTGTACCTGAAGGCTTTCAAGGGAAGCTTTGCTTTTACATTGTCATTCTAACATGGTCTGGAAAAGCTTGTGTTCCACACCACGTCACCAACAGAACAGACCACTGGGGACACAAGCTTCATAAAGACACCCGAGGACATCCAGGCATCAATCTCCTGGCTTGCTAGTCTCCTTCTCTCAGCTACAAAAACATGGCAACACTGCGGCTTAGCTGAGCACCTGTGAAACAAACCTGAGCTCACAGGATTGATTCCCTTCACACAAGGTCTTCCATCACTTCTCCACAACAGCCTAAACACCTGTAGCACAGCTGTTCCTTTTGATGTTTACTTTAAGCCATTGGAAGCTACTCTCTGTCATCCTATTGCCAGGATAAATACTCCATTGATACAGCACTTGCATTCTTTTGATCTGCGCTCTTCTGTGTTCCTCACAAGCACTTCTAAACAAGATGTGCAGAATGCTGCACATGCCTTCTTTGCACAAGGCAGCCAGCAAGTTCTTCCTTCAGGTTCTATTTTCCAAAATAATTCAGCTCTTACGCTTTTATCTTACTGATTTAATTAATGCTTGGCTTCTCTCCCCTTCCCTGGATCATGTTCTGCCTCTTAAATTCCTTTTCCGCCCTCCAAATATTTCAGCAAGCCACCTCTGCCAATTCTTCTCCTTAGCAAGAATTCCCTTTTCTTGATTTTAAAACTCCAGAGTTTTTGAACCTTATTTGACCAATATCAGCCTGCTAAACCTGAACAGAGTACACATGGCCAGGGACTCTCCTTTAGGAAAGTATCCATTCACAAGAGCATGCAGTGACAGGACAAGGGGGAATGGCCTTAAGCCAAAGGAGGTTGGCTTTGGATGAGATACGAGGAAGAAATTCTTCCCTAGGGGGGGGCTGAGGCCCTGGCACAGGTTGCCCACATAAGCTGTGGCTGATCCATCCTTGGGAGTACCCAAGGCCAGGTTGCATGGGGCTTGGAGCAACCTCGGCTAGTGGAAGGTGAAAACGGATGATCTGTAAGGTTCCACTAAACACAAACAATTTCACAATTGTATAATTTAATCTGCATTTGCAATAGACACAAGCTATAGGCAAAGGAGAAAATCACAGCGTCTATTTCAGGGTTTAGAAGTCATCAACTTAGACACTCCTTCCTCTGATTTCCCCACCCCTTTTGAGCCTCCTTACCCTGCCAGAGTTCCACGGTCCTGCGCTGAGTTCATTCTCCTTGGCCCTGGGAACTGGAGGTGCTGGCCATGACTGTGCGGTAAGTGTGGGAATCTCAGGTCCAGACACAGAATTTTCATCGAAAACAGCAAAACCTGGAGTATTTGGAAGCTGTAGAGAAGCCTGAGGCTGGCAGCTTCTGTTTGGGTTAATGACTATAAGCAAGAAGATTTATGTCAATCAACCTTCAACCATCACATTCAATTGCAAATCTCACTATAAATAGATTTAACTCCTTCAATAACATTTTTTTTAGCTCTTGAATGTACCTTTAACTACATCTCCAGCACGATTAATGGGGGCTCTCACTTTCTTCTTCCCTCTGCCTTTGAGATCTGCCAGCGAACTTCTCTGAGGCTCTGCAATTTCCAGCAATCCCATATTGTCTCCATCAGGACTTTCCTCAAGTGCCAGTAGTGTCTGCCGAGAAACACGGGCCTGAAACTGCCTAGAAAAAAACATTGGAGAAGTCAGCATAACCTTCCCTATCCCAGGAGCCCAGATGAGCACCTACACTCTTCCCTTACTTGTGATGAGCCTGGAGTTTGTCCAAAGGCTCAGCCTTGCGCTGAAGTCCTTCCTGGAATATCAGATCTGCTTTTCTGAAGCTGCCCCTGGCCTCGAGTGCCTCTGCCCAGGTGATGTAGAGTGGGGCCAGCGTGGTGCCAATCTCCTGGCTGTGTAGGTAACCATACAGATCCAAGGGCTCGTTGCAGCAATCGCTCTGAAATAACCCAAGTATGTCTGTAATCACACTGCAGCAGGGTCCCAGTCAAAATCTGAGTTTCAATGCCTCCAGCAAGACCCCAGTGATTTCAATACAAGTCTGACAGGAGCAGCTGTAAGTCCAGTACACAGAATTTTATCATTTCTTATTTGAATGTGGGGTAATTCAATGATTGAACTGCACCATATTAGTGTTCCTGAGAATGAACAGTTATTTTAGCTTCAGATGAAGTATAATATATTTCTTGCCACTTTTGGAATTGGTAGATTACCTCAGCAAGCTAAAGCTGGGAAAATGTTGCTTTGTAAATAAATGGACAACAAAAATTACAGCAATGGAGAGACAGGACCAGAACACACTTGGCTTGCTTTAGAGTTTAAAAGGATGGGGATAGAAGACAGCTAGAAGCTAAAATACCTGGTAGGACAGATATATTTTAGATGCTGTATCTTTAAATCACTTCTCTTTCTCCTTAAATAAATATTTGAACTCTATTTATTCAAGGCAGCTTTTTCAAAACAAAAACTTTTAGAGTTTGCAGTTGTCCAAAGTGAACAACCCTAAAAAATAGTCTGAAAATGAGAAGCAGAATTCAAGAGTAACATTTCTAGAAAAATATGTCTAATATTGCACTTGTTGGCTCTTGTCACCATAATCAACTTAGCTACATGCAGACAACATGACAAGGTCCCAAAAAAAGCAGCACCCAAGAGATGTTCCCCAAAACACTCACAAACTTGAGCCAGAGATTAAGATAGCGAGGATCTTTGTAGTATCGCTGCTGCCCGTGGAGGGCTTGCACTGCCCTTTCCAGAACAGCTGCAAGGTTGCCATCCTTGCCACCCCCAGGGAAGGCCTGCTCTGTCCACTTGATGTACCTAGAGACAGCATGTGATCATAGCAAGTGTCAGTTCTTAATAAGCCTCTATAAAATATAATGAAATTAAGAAAAAAATAGGCATAACACTGAAACACAATATAATATTTAAACACAATTATAAAAATTAGCTTTCAATTAATTTCTTATTAAATTAGAATATGTTTCCCTTCCTTTTACATGGATACATGACCATTTAACTTTTTTCGGAAATAAAGAAAAACTTACCGCTCCCACACATCTAGAGGGTCATCTCCACAGTAAAATCGTATTTCTGCTTCAAACTCCCTAAAACATAATATTATTCATCAATAAATACATTTGTATCACTGGAAGTTATCTTGTCTAATACAAATTAAGAGTTAATTATTAATTAAAAAGCACAGCCAAATCTCCCTAGTGTTTGCTGTTTAATGCTCCATTGCAAAACAGAAATTTTGAGGCCTGTACTACACAATACCTGCACTAAGTAGTTCTAAAATCCTAGAGCATGGTAATAGCAGAGACATAAATTACTACTAAGCTTCTTTTATGCCTTTTTAATGCCTATGAGATTAGTACAGCTAAAGAAGATATAGATAAAATGAAAAGGGAGGAAGATAAGGGGAAAGGAGGTGTTATAACATCACTTACTTTTTTTTAAGCTGCACAGTGGTGTGGCTGGAAGAGTCCTGCTGAGACAGTGCCTCTTGCAATCTGGACATCACCCGTCCCTGCCTGAGGGGCTGCACATTCTCCTTGCTCAGCTCCCACTCATGGCTGTCCTCCTGGGACATGATCACCTCTCCTCCAATCCTGAATGCTTCTCCTTTAATCCTGCATTTAAAAATAAATGGATACCTCCAAGGCTAGGTACTGACCTGAAACCTGACAGAGACAGCTTTCCTAAGCCCATTCACCCCGAATTTCTGTGCAGCCAAACCACACTGCTTAGATTCCCAACTATTAGAGGGACTTGGGGGTTTAATTTCCCGTCCGGAAATACACGAAAAAAAAAAGCCCATCTTGAGAGTGAAGAACGGCAAGCAGGCAGTATTATCAGCAAAAGCCACAAAGACTAAGCCACCTCCCTCGCTACCCATTCCTCCTTTCCCTGCCCCGAGACCCTCCTCCTCCACCCTCCTCACTGCCGACGGCCGCGCTCCGGCCAGGGGGAGCCTCAGCCAGGCTTAGTCGGGACCCTCTGGTCCTTCCCCAGTCAGGCGAGCGGGGGCACAGCCCAGCCTCGACCCCCGCCGGGGGGCGGCGGGGCACAGCGGCGGGGACTCCCTGCTG